TTGAGATAAACGCCGACAATATAATTACGTGTTTGTGAATTCGATACCATGCGAAATGATGCTGTACGGAAATCGTTCATAAAAAAAAGAAACAAGTTAATACAAAGACTTGATAAAAAAAGCCGGCAAGTTTAGAAAGCAATAGTTGCACATAAGAGCCATCTTCGCACACCGCATTCAAGTATACTTATAAAAATTAATGATTTTGTTGCTGCGTGCATTATTGCGAGATGCTTTTCATAATAATGCCGAGGATTACAATCAGATATCTCTACTGCGAATGAGACGCGGAAAAGCTGCAGGTCTATTTTTCATAATTCCGAGAAAAATAGTCTGCAGTGTAATACACTGTTATACTCCCTGTATAACGACGCGCGCGTGTACACGTATATGTGGTATGCGGAATTTAAATGGGGAACATTGTTACACGTCGGTCCAATTTCAGTTCCGGCGGAAGCAGTAGTTCACTTTGCCAGTGACTATTATCAAATGTACGACATAATGAGCTCTATCTTGCATGGGAAACAACTTGCTTTGTGTTCAATATTACTGTAATAAAGTGGTGGTCATCCATCGGTCTCGCATTCAATGAAAGTAATTACTTGGCGATTTTTCACGCCGCGTGGAGTTCGATTTGCCAAGATTGTAAAATTGTTTAATCGCGGAAAAGAAATTTTGCGCAAAATTTTCATGCCCTTTGCTTTATCGTCGCGGTGCCGAATTGTCTCGTCGAACGGAGCGACGGTATTTTCAACGGATTCGTGTACCTACATGGGACAGACACAACATACATAGAACACATGATCGATGCGCGTGATTGATGAGTGATGATCGTAGACTTATGTACACGGAGTCAACTGTTTACAATAAATAAGTCTTTAATAAATATGCTACTACACATTAATAGATTCTACAAAAAAAAAGAAGAAAAATCGCAGCGAGGTTTCTCCAGCAGATACACCTATCTAGATTCGATACAACTTTTATTTCGGGAAACAAGGAGACGGCTTTTCGTTAAGTATAACTCAACGAAATGAATTCTCCAAGTGGCATTCGAAAATCAATTTCCGCATAATGAAGGTTGACCTATAATCAAGATTGCAAATATGAATGAGTAGCGTATTTTGTGGCGTCACCATTTAACATTACCAATCAATCTTTCATTTTAGAAAACGCTTCTATTTGGATTGATATATCTTTATGGCAATCGATTTTGTAAAGTTAAACTGTAGCCGATGTGGAATTAAAAAGTGATAAGCATTGCCGTCTCTTCGTTGCGAGAAACTCGCGCAGTGCGACGGAAAACGGGTCCGGTAAAATCCGTAGAAAAATATGTTTGAGCATAAAGTTAAATGTGCTGACCGCTTGTCCGCGATAATTTTGATGAAACATTGCGCATAACGATAAAATATATTTGCAGGCAACCTGGAAACGAGAACTATAACAAATTGTAATTATAATATAATGGAAACGCTAATTGAGACCTTCGTAATTTTCACGTCCGCACTGTCGAGCGCCCGTCGCGAAACGAGTTCCTGAAATAAAATTGGAGGCGCGAGGAATAACGATCGAGTAGATGGAACTCGAATGACCGGCGTATGCAATTTGTGTCGACCTGATTAATCGATCTCCTTGGTAAAATAAGAAAGCCAGTATTCTCCCTCTTTTCTCCACTTCGCTCCATTATAAATACTGAGATTACGTCCAACGAAATTTACTCTACGCATGCCAAATTATACATACGTCGCCCGTAAAAATCGCGTTTTATAGCATTTGATTGCGAGACCGCGAGACAAACTCGCAATTTGATTAATCGCTTACAGGAATTCCCTCGAGCTCGCGATACCTAAACATAGATAGTTACAGATGGCTCTCGAAATATCCTTTCCATATCCTACAATTTGTATATGTATAATTTATGCTAGTTAAAAAATTACTTTGTTACGTAGCGCACTAAGCGTAATCGGAAACGCTCACCTTCGTCTCGCGAAATCTCGTCGCGCGACAGCTAAATTCTTTTTCCATTCAACAGCTCGTCCCCTCAATTAAATTGACATCTACTACCGCCTCGAGAACAATCGTATTTCCGTGCTCGCGAGTTAAACTGATTTCGTCGTCCGTACGTCGTTTCCTCTCCTCCGGTCGCTTATTGTCTTACGCTCCTCGCTCGCTAAAATATCGTCGCCAATTCTTTACGCTTACGCGCTAATCGCGCCAGTTACGACAAAGTTCGGCAGTAATGTACAAAACGTTCTCCACGTCGATATGTAGGTGAGAGCGGTTCATGTCAAGAAGGTATTTCGCTCAACAACTGTCCAGATAAAATATTTAATTTGGAACAACATCTTAATTTAATGTTACAACCTGCGGATGTTATTTTCTAACCTGCACGAGGATATTGCTACACGGATATTACTCGGTCTAAATCTTTTACATTCGTACCTACTGCCATTGAATACGGATATTAACCCCGTTTTGTATTTTATTTATTCAATTTTATATAATTGGACTTTATTATTTATTGCTCTCATGATGCCCTTGTGCCTGATAGTAACGTTAGTTAAGAGTAAGATAGTAACATTCATTAATTTCTAAATGTACAATGACGATACATACATACCTAGATTATCGTGCTGGAAATATTCTACGGTTGTTAAAACTATTGAAGATGTATCGTTGATTGAAGAGCCCTAATTGTAAGAGAATTATGATTGTCCTGATTAAGCCATTCACTTTGAAAGTAATGGGAGTAAATCGAAAATGCATTTTTTTTCACGCAAATATATATAAGAAAAATGTGTGTTTCTTTCAAGCTAAATAGCTCAGTACTTATGGAACGTTGTTAAAGCACGTAGGATAATATTTAATGAAATTGGACCGAGATATGAATCTTACGATTAAATAGAAAGGCTCCAACTTCGGTCAGGGGATCTTGGCCTAATAATAATATTTCTGCGTGAATTTCTGCAGCAAAGTACGTGTTAATTATTTATCTGTTTGAAACACAGTTTTTTTTCGTTAGAACAGTAAATCTACATAACATACCTCAGTCGAATTTAATAAAAACGATGGATTGTAAAGTTGTCCAGGTTCGAACTGAGCTAGAAAGATACTTTTCACAAAAAGATTCAGGCTGACCGAAGACGGCATCTTCTCTATTCAATTATAATATATGTAAAAATGTTTTTCGGAACTTCATTTATAAATTCCTCTATAATTATATGTCGAAATGAAATTTTCGCTGAGAAATGGTATCGACCCGAATGCGTTCGGCAGAGAAAGATTATCGCAGAGTTGAGAAAATGGCACATTCGCATGCATTACGTCGACTTACCATCTTGCAATAGAATCGAAAGCTACTTGCTCTAAAGACCAATGAAGATTACGATTCCGCGGAACCACCTAGGGGACACGCAATCACCGCGTGACCCGTTCTGCCGCCAGGAAGTACTTTGCGATTAAAGTTAAGTTTCGTGCTCGTTATCCGGCGGTTCGATATTTTCTCAGTTCGATGCCACCGGTAATTACCCCTTTCGGATAACGAGCGTAAGAGACACCCATTGGCCGGCACGCTTCTGTCCTGTTCAAACAAACGCGACCGAGGGTCCTTCGCTTCTACCGATGTCCATCGATTCTCGACACGAACCGCGTTTCTCACTGTAAATGCTTTGGGAATCGATATCGAAACGATTTCGGTGAACGCAATTTACGAATGCCGTTACGGATTTTTAGCGTGCGTCGAAGTGTCCTTCGTCATGTGAAGTGTGTTATCAATAAATATCGATCTTTAATATCAGTTATAGATAAATAATAGATAATTTTTGTGCCTGGTATTATCTCAGGTTATCGTTTCAGTATAAGATTATAGGGAAGTTGTCTAAAGAAAAATCGTTCCCTTGATATTCTTACAATAAAATATCAAGAATTTAAATGATTGTGGATACGACCTTACTGGCAATTCTTTATTATAAATTACGACGTTTCGGCCAGTAATACCGGTCCTCTTCAGGTGACGATCTTACAAGAGTGTCCGCAATTGTCTGGGGAACAAATGAGTTGATGTGTTTGTGGACACGTTCTTACATAACAAGATTTACAATGTAATTTTGCAAATATTTTAAACTCAACTTGCTTTCCATTTGGCGGTCAATTCTATGAACAAGTTTTCGGTTGTCCAACGGGCTCACCTCTATCTCCGACCCTAGCAAACATCGTTCTAGAAGTTTTAGAATCCACATGTATTAGCACTCTGGATTTTACACCACAGTGCTTCTACAGATATGTCGACGACACGTTCGCAATCATCCCCAAAAACAAACTAGACCATACTCTCAACCTTCTTAATAATTACCATCCACGTCTCAAATTCACATATGAAATAGAAGCCAACAATAGTATCAATTTTTTTAACACATCAGTACATACAGTGCCGGTTTTAGCAACATTGGCGCCCTGAGCAAGATTATCGTGGCGCCCATTCAAATTCAAGGGCTCGAAATTCTTGCAAAAGAAAAGACAGGGTAATAATATCGAATGACGAATCCCATTTTGTTTTTATATTTAGGGAATCTCTCTCACTCTCAAACTAGGTGAAACTAGAGATCCTCAAGTACTTGAGGATCTCTAGGTGAAACCAGGCAGCGGCGCCCCTACAGATTTGGCGCCCTGGGCGACCGCCCAACCGCGCCCCGCCCTAGGGCCGGTACTGAGTACATAGAGACATAAACAATACACTAATCACTAATTGGTACCACAAACGTTTTCAGGCAGATACATCAACTTCTGCTCCAACCATCCACTACGATATAAAATAAACACGATTCTAAACCTCGAATCGACGTCGATGGGGTCGAAACTGCGTCCCTACCGTCAGTTTTCGAAAATAATTAAAAGTTTCGAAACATCGTAATTTATAATAAAGAATCGCCAGTAAGGTCGTTTCCACAATCATTTAAATTCTCATTTCTTAACTGGCGTCAGCAAACTGCTATCAATTGTTAATAAAATATTAAGTTATAAGAAATTCAATAAAATTCTACATAAGGGTTCGTCTTTTTCTGTATGCAGCTTTTGTCATATTCTAATCATATTGCTTGATAAGATAGAAGTATTCGGTTAAAAAAAGCTACTAAAAATAATTTCGATAATAATTAGATCAATCACAGAAAATTATGTCAACAAAAAGAATGCCTGTGACGTTTAATTAAATATTAATTTTCTTTTACACGTTTTGTTATCGGTATTTAAATCTGCCCGATTAAAATGTGAAGTTTAACACGTCGAGGAAAGGTTTTATGCATTTGCAACTCGTATTCCGATTTAATTTCTCGTTTCTTCAAAGTTCACGTAGTCGATTTCACCGAAATTGCAACCGTATCGGTTCCTCAATACCGCGGATATCAAAATTTCGGCACGACACACGTCGCATGAACGTGGAGTGAGTTGTAACGTAGAGTGATTGCTATGTACACGTAAGTTTACAATGACGTTCGCGCACAGATCAGCCTCCGTCACATCGCCAGTCTCTCCAGCGGAAATCTCGTTGTAGTCCGCGGGATCGTATCGTCGCTGTCCTCACAGTTCTTTTCGTCTAGCCTAAACGTTGTAACTTCCGCGCTAACTTCATCGGAGGCTGCCAACGTGCTGGACTCTACCGTGACGGTCGCGAGCTCGCTCGTGACGGTCGAGGACGACTCCTCGTCGACGAGCGAGGAGTCCTCGTCGGACTCTTGCCAGGATAAGGTCGTGGAAGGGGGAACTGGCGAGAATAGAGGCAGAGGGGTTGTGGTATAGGCGCAAGTATCTTCAGGAACTTTGGTGGTTGACGGTAGAAACGCTACTTCGCTCCTCGACGTTGTCGAAGTCGCTGGCATCGACCTCGATCGACCCGGCGAGCCCGCGTTATCCCGGGAAGACTTCCCTACCCTACGCGAGCCTATCGGTCTTGTGATATGGTTCCTTGAGGACGGTGGCTTTTTATGATCAGACTGCGGCGAGCTCGGCCTTCTGATAGAGGAGAGAGCGGTTGACGCACCAGGAGGAGACGGCGAAGAGGACAACGTGGCTGTCGAGGCCCGCTGCTCCTCGCTGGCGGGCGCTGTTAGCGACGAAGAGGCCTGGGACGAGGACGTCGTGCCAGGCCCGTACTGCTTCCGGGAAGGCGACGCCACCGTGATCCCCCGGCTCGTCTGCTGCAATGTCGTCCTCTTCCTCTTCTTCTTCCCGTCCGTCAAATCAGGCTTTTTACTTTGATTATCGGCGACGCTGACGTTTGGCTTTTTCGCGTTTGACGTTGGTGCTTTGTTCTTACCGAGCGTGAGGTTCCTGCCGCCGCCGTCTATCCGCGACTTCCGCTTCTTCGCCGGCACCGAGAGGGCCTGCCGCCTGCAGGCCTCCTCGCTCGCCGCCCCCTCGCAGGATCGCTTGGATTCCGGCGTGGTGTTGCTCGCGCTTATCATCTCCGACGACGCCTCAGCGACGTCCGCCAACGACTCCGCGACCGACTCCTCAGCGGCCTGGCACTGGGGGCCAGGCTGCTCGCCCGGTCTGCATCGTCGCTTCCGCTTCTTCCTCTTCTTTCGCTTGCGGCATCGGAACCTGTCTCTGCCATCTTTCTCCTGGGTCGACACTTTGGGACAGTTCAATGGCGGCAGACAGTTTAAGGGTGGCGCGTCATCGCTAATGCGGTGATGATACCAGTGACGCACTTTGTGCTGGGCGCCCAGTATCCGCCTCTGCAGGATCTCCACGCGATCAGGCGGGGCGACCTGCGTCAGCACCCGAGCGTTGGCTGACAGCCTGCCCAGGTTGTGGCGTTTGGTTTGTACTTTCTTCGGGTGGCCGTACCGGTCCAGGCCGAGGTACAGCGTTCTGTTCGCCGTTGACCAGCATACCGAACTGTACGTATTGTAATTGTGTTGCTCCAGAGTCTCGTTGAAGACGCACTCCGCTGTACAATTGGGCTGAAACGGAAATTCAGGCAATTAATTTCACAAAGTTCCACCATGTCGAAAGATTCTTGTGAGATTAACAAGTTCGTAAAGCTACCGCATTCATTCGGACTCTCTGTCTCGCTCTTGCTTATGTTAAACGTTGTACGTTAATTGTAAATGTTTGGACACATCAGATATTATGACCACGATTATATGACTACGCCAACGTTGTCTCTTATATTAAAATCGGAAGGCTGAGAGGGCTTGGACATATGAATAGAATGAGAGATAACAACACGTGTAAGAGAATCTTTGAGAGCAAAATATTTGGCAAGAGAGCAAAAAGTAGAGCCAAACACCGCTGGTAGAGTTCGGTGCAGCAGGGCATTAAAGGGCTGGAGATTGAGAATTGGAGAACCAAATCGCTGGACAGGGATAGGTGGAGAGGACTCCTTACTGAGGTCAAGGACCTTTTTAGGACTGTAGCGTCGTAGAACAAGAAGATATGACTGTTTATCTTGTCGACTAATTATCTTCTGCCTGTGTTTCAGTGTATTTAAGTTTGATGTTCAGCATTTACAATTCTGTTTATAGTATTAATTGTGCTTTAAGGTAGTTTCAACTAAAATTTCGTAAAGCTAAAAGCACGGATTTTAAACGCGTTTCCTTCGAAACAGGATTCGTGCCCTTTTTCCCAGTCTCCGCCTCAATTAAGTTCGCGGTGCACTTTCAGTTTGCAAGCCGCGCGATGTACCATCCGTTCGGTGCGGGACACATTAATGGGCCATGCACACGTGCGCAAAACGAGGTTAATGCAAGTTAAAGCGCTAGACCGTTTCCTTAGCGGGGCATTAAGGATAATGCGGAACCGACCGACCGTCCCACCGACGGTGCACACTGGACATTAAGTTTGCGCTGGCCGGTGGGGCGCGCCGCGATCTCGCCAGATGAAGCGGTGTTCTCCGCAGACAATTACATTTGTCGGTTCAACCGAGGGGAGACAAGCGGTTCGAACTGCTTCATCTCGTGCCGCGTGGCGCCTTCGGTTGTACTTTAACACGAGGGAATCAAGAGCAAAGAGCCACGAACGCAAAGTTAAATTTTTCAAATACGTTGAGTTGTCTAAAGACCTGGTGTCTCTATATCAAAATAATTAATTCTAGCGTTATTGGTTTTAACAACTTGTTACGCTAATTTATTTCGATCATTCTCGGGACTTGTAGCTAAATCTTGTTGTACCGCTTACCGGGAACGATAGATCTTATTGAGCGTCACACATGTGCGGCACAAGTACGCTTTAAACGAGTCGCATTGACCCACGGGTTCTAGCGAGCAGCGGATAACGAGCGATTACGCGTCAAGGGAGGCGCCGCGAGAAATCCAAACAAACTTTCGTATTTTCCCTCGGATATTTACGACTACGACGAAACGAGGGCTACGTCAACCAAAGCTGTTTTCTCGCCATTGGCTTAGGCGAGAAATGCAGATCAAATTATTAGGCTACGCTACGTTTTTCCTTTTTGAAACGTGTATGCATATGTGTATAAAACTACGTGACGCGTGAAACGGACGAAATGTCGAAGTATATTCGACATGTCGAGCCCTTCTCGTTGTCTGTAAATTTCCACCGTTCACGTTACACGATTAATATAATAAATAAGATGATAAATGAAGAATGAGTTTAGAAATAACAGGTTAATTTGCAGTGACGCAAATTGATTGCGTTGCGAGAATAATTGGATAGCAACATTCCTTTGAAGAAAACTTAAGTGACGATATAAATACATACATTATTAATTGAATCGCTAGTGACTCTTAAAGGTGTCGATTTTTCTGAATCGTCAGAGAAAATGAAGAACTGCACTCCTGCATTATTTGCTTCTTTGAAACTTTTCGGTTTTACAAAGCTTCTTGCAGATTAAAAAGCTCCTTCAAAAGCGATCGCAAGTAAACCAGTGCCGGTTAAGTCGGGTCGTTTTGGCAGCTATTTCAACGATAGCGGAAGTACGGTGCAAATGCCAAGAATAATGTATACCGCGCTGCTAATGTATGCAAGCGTGCAGGCGAGATTTTTGGGGGGGATGTTAAAGTGTCACGCGGCAAAAATAATATTCAAGATCTGCAAGAGAACGCTATCTTCTCGCAATTGAATTTTAATCGAGTTTCAAAGAGTCTCTTCCACGCCTAAACATTCCCCATTGATTTGCATGAATTTTTAAATCGATATGTGAGGCGCTAAGTTTTTTAAAGAAAATTAGACTCGGTTGCTGGACACACTTCCAATTCAAAAACCGATAAGACTTACCACATACAAGCTTTGCATACTACTAAATATAGTAAATTTAACTCGGTATTATAATATATGCGGGATATGTGTACGCCATATCTTTATCGAAGCGTTACGAATATATGATTGATTTACGGATCATTAAATAACTATGCTACCGGATTGTAAATTATTCGGGCGGCCGAAAAAACGAACGCGACAACGGTGGTCGGTCAATGAGATGCAAGACGAGAGTAAAGAAACGTTAATTGCGCAATTCTTTCGGTACTTCGAGACCGCTAATGATTGGAGACTGTTGCTTCCGGTATATTAGATTTTTTTTTACATTTAATGAGGCTTTGTATTCGATCAGGAGTTTTTCGAAAATCACGCTACAACTTTCGAAGCAAGTGTTTCTTCATTAATTATATCTACTTTTGGAGAAATTTAATTTACAAAGTTTCGTTTTTCAAGTTTTTCGCGTAAATATTTATTACGAAAGCATAATCTGGAAATATGTTTGCTGCATTCGTGTTACATTCGATTTTTATATTTAAAGAAAAATGATTTATACATAAGAGAATACAAAGTAAAACTTTATTGGACTCGGTGAATTTTATGCGATTTTACTCTCATTTTATTTGTATCGAAAAAGTTTCGAATTACCAGCTGTAGCGATTTCTTGAAACGTGCTTTAATCATGCGAATGACTTTAAAGAGAACGTTGTATAGAGATCGCAAGGTGTTTTTAACGGCGTGACGCCAATTATGGCGCCGCGAATCGCGAAGTTGTAGTAAATAATGATTTCGTTAGAAACAAAACAACTAATGGAGATGGCGGCCGCAAAGCGCGCCAGAAGAATGCAACTGCCTTGCAACTCTTTATGGCTCGGTTGTGCTGCTTGTTCTTCTCGTACGACGGATAATTTATCATTACTGTACTACTAGGTGTTTCTTGCATGTCACGTGCATAAGGAGCCGTCGGACGAATGCGGAATTTAATCCTTTTGTCTGTATATGTCATATAAAGATACACTGAGAAAAATGTCCGATTAAATATAATCGGATAATCCAATTACGTAATAACCAATGGACATATCCGATTAAATTGTATATCCGATGAAAAATATCATCGCTTCTTCGATCAAATTTCATCGGTAACTGCACTTCATCGGACATCGGATGTATCCATAATTTAATTGGAAAACTTTAATTGGTTTATCCGATGGAAATTTTTCACAGTGTATCATTTACGAGAAAAATATTTAGCTGAAATTCTCCGACGAATGTGTTGCTTCAAATGTTCGACGTAAAAGACTTCTACAAAAAGACAAATTATTAAAATAATTATTATATTTTCGATTAAATGTCTCGATAGTGTCTTCAAAATATTGGCGGAACATTTTTCCGCTTGTTGGAAAATATTCTTAAAAATATCTCGGAACGTTATTTTAAATATTTTTCCTATTCAGATCGCGACGTGTTTTTTATTCCCGACATTCCTGTTGTCTTTATAACGAAAGCGATCAGTTTTTATGTGGCGCAAATTGTTAGTGCTATTACCACGAGTATCGGGTTTTGTCTTGGTTAAATAATCGCGTACTTAATTCGCCCGCGAGCGCAGATAAGTGGCATTTCGTCCGCGTGACATGATCCGCGAGTTAACCGCATTCTCAGGCGAGAATAACTCGTCGCTAATAATCGCGAACAATGCAACCTTTATTTCTATCGGAATTGAGATTACATCGTTCATACATAAACGTCGGGCGCATTTGTTAAAGAACTCTGTCCAAGTGCCCTACCATTTCGCGAATGTCTGTCGTTCTATTCTAGTATTCTAGAGTATTTCCGCGCGTTATTCCGTACGTATCTCCGTGTCTCTTGCAATTGAGAACTACGGTTATTATATACGAGAAGGAAGAGCTGGTCAGAACTAACTGTCGAAACCTGAGAGTCAAATTTCACAAGAAACATTTCTTTCCAATTGTTATCTTTTTGTTTTACGAGAGAGACGAGACATTGTTAAGAAAAATATCTGACTTGTACGTAAATCAATAGTCCTTTTGTTTCAAGTTATTAAAATTTTTACTTCGAAAGAAAGTAAATTCGTATATATTTCATTACACACGTGTTTCATACCACAAGTTTCGTTTACACTTGTTTCTTTTAGCGAGGAATAGAATCTGTTTAGATCACATAATTATTTTCCATTTAATTCTTAGATTTTTCTTTCTTGTTGATTTTAATTTAGACGTGATATGTTAACGTTTACAGCAAAAAATAAATTTTATACAATTATATTGAATAATTATTGAATTCAAAACAAGCATTTTCTTTGCTCTATGTATTTCGATTTAATACATATAATTGTCACCTTGTTTTATACGCATTTTAATATACAATGTGCGCCGAAAGATGTAATTCGAGAGAGCCGAGCAGCAGGTGCTTTGTTCGGCCCCGCGCAATTAACGAGGTGCAATCGAGTTGACGATAATAATTAGGGTCGTGTCGTGATAATGAATTACGTACAATCCTTTATCGCGTAATTGCAGAGCTAAGAGTCGTTGAGTGCGCGCGCATATTTGCACGTACACATGGAACCAGTTATTCGAAGAGCCTTAGAAGTGCCGCTGATCATTCTTTATGTCATTTGGTAATGGGACACTATTATCAGTATTTAGGGCAAATTTCTTAGCGTAAGATTAATGTACCGTGTTGAAGCCTTTAATGCCGCCGGCGATAATAAAGTCAAAAAATCGTCACG